CACACACACACACACACTCACACACACACACACACACACAAACACACACACACACCCGACCCAGATACCGTAAATATAATAATTATCTACAGTTATTGATCTACTAGATACCGTAAACACATTAAATAATTTCAAATGATTGATGCTTCAGATACCGTAAAGACATTAAATAATCTATTGTCATTGGTCTTTCAAATACCGTAAATGCATTAAATAATTTCTAGCCATTTGTCTTCCAAATACCTTAAATACATGAAATAAGGTCTAGTCACTGGCCTTACCTATGTGAAAGCATTAAATAAGGTCTAGTCACTGGTCTTACCTATGTGAAAGCAGGTGGCGAGAAGGAAAAGGACAGTGGTCAAACGTGTGCCGAGAGCGAGCCCGTGTGTTGGGCGTTGGGCGGGTGTCCTGTGGGCTGCTCCGAGGCTCCTGGTGTAGTGAGGCTGTGGCAGGCGGGAGCTCCACCCAACGTACATATCACTCTACCTCCCAGCCGGTTGACAGCGGGGCGGAGTTCGCATCTCAGCCTCGCCGTACCGCACCCGGACACAGGAGGAGGGGAAGACCAGAGCTCGCTTCTTCTTCTGCTGATGCTGCTAGCTGATTTTCACGATGATGATGACGACGACGACAAAACGACGAGGAGGAGGAGGAGGAAGATGAGGAGGTGGTGGTGGGGGAGACGGCACCAGAGTACAGCTGGTCAGCTGCTGAGGGACTGGACGAGGAGGACGAGGACGAGGACGAGGAGGAGAAGGAGGAGGAGGGCGAGTGGGAGGAGCGGAGGAGGACGAGCTGAGGGTCCGTGTGAGGGGCGCGGGTGAGTTGATGAGGATGAGGTAAAGACGACCACCGACTCATCCAAGCGAGCAGCATGGTGCGCTCACCGCCCCCCGCGCGCTCATCAAGGCTGGTGCTGCTTCACAACAACGACGCAGAGATAATCCTAATCCTAATCCAGAGTCCGAGGAGAACAACAATCCGCGGGGAGATAATCCATCCACTGGTGACACACAGGCTCACAATATAACGCTGGTGGTGGGTGGGTCCAGTCAGAGCGAATAGAAGACCTACTCACGTAGGCTCTCCTCACAGTTTTGTCACAGTTTCACTCGGAGGTTTCAGTTCCTTTTTTTTCCAGACTGTTTTCTTTATTCTGATAACGGAGAGGTCAACACAGATATCTTGTAAAATGCAATCTCTAAAACTATCCGTTCCTGAGAACGGGTTTACGTAAATATAAATCTACATCGAAGGCAATCTACATTGATGCTTTCTAAAACACATTATCTTAAATTACTGCAGACTTTCGCCATATCGCAAGTACATTAAACTGCTGCAAACTGTCGCCACATCGCATGTACCTTAAATTGCTGCAAACTTTCGACATATTGCATGTGCCATAAACTACAACAGACTTTCGCCATATCGCATGTACCTTAAACTTAAATAGCTGCAAACTTTCGCCGTATCGCATGTACCTTAAACTTAAATAGCTGTAAACTTTCGCCAAATCGAATGTACCTTAAACTTAAACTGCTGCAAACATTCGACATATTGCATGTACCGGAAACTGCTGCTAACTTTGGCCATATCAAATGTACTTTAAATTGCTGCAAACTTTGGCAATATCGAACTCTACGTTTCCCCATACTCATTTCCCTTTTCCGGACACAAACCCTCACCAGTGATGTCGAACCCAAGCGCAGCGCGTGCAAGAGATGGGGTGAGGGACGAGAGAAGGGAGAGGGTGAGGGGGAGAGGGGACATTTTTGCCACCAACTAAGTCATCCACTTCAAATCAAGTATTCACAATAACCATTCTCTCTCACACACTCATCCCCCCCC